AAAATAATTATTAAATCTATGGGACAAAGATGGATTAATTAAATAAATAATTTACAGCAAACAAAAATTGTTGTTAAAATATTCATAGGTGGCAAAAATGAATAAAAAAATAATATTGAATAAAAAATAAAACCACAAATAATTTAATAGCATTTTATTGAGTTTATCATAATGTTTTTTATTTATCATTACAATAATCTTATGGTATACTGTCGTATCTCGTAACCATCACACTTCACCAACGTCATCGCATCTGCAATAATTACAATAAAATAAATCACTAATTTTAAAAGAAAAAAAAATCTAAAAACTAATCAAATTTAAATTGTTCCTATTGATAACGTCAGTGATTATAAAAATGGTTCCGTTTTACAAAAAACACAATTCAAATGGACAAAAACAAACTAGGACGGCGACGTAAAATATATGTTTGAATAATTATACATCAAGGGATTGATTATGAGTAAAAATATCATTATCATAATTATAATTATTATTATTAATATTTATACAGCAAATTCATAATAATTCACAATAATACGTATTAAGATTTTAAAACCTTATTTTCTTTTAATGTCCTTAATTAATTCAATTAATCGTATTTTCTCTGTTTTTTATTATTAATTAATTATTTATTTAAATCAATAAAAGTTGTGTAGTGCCTAAGACTTCTGTAAATGATTTCATTTTTTTTTATTTATACATTAACATCAACGTTCTTTTATTACTCGTATACTAGCTGTGCCGTATGCACTTGTACTGGTCGCAACGAGTCAGACAATTGCCCAAAAATAGTTATTAAAATATTAAAAAAAAAAAAATACAGTCGCCAGGATTCGAACCCTGATCTTTCCGAGTACATGTTTAGTAACATTCACTTGTTGCCAGTCCATTTTTTTCATGTACGGAATTTTCAAAATTTTTTTTTTGCAAAATAAAGTAAACATTAAAAACAACTACTTTTAGTCAATTTCTCTCGAATACGACGTTAATTACGTTAACAATAAATAATAATTGTTAACTTACAATAGTGTGCTCGTTTTATCGCCTCAATATTTTTACAATAAAAAAAGGAACCATCCTTTCCGTTTTTTTTTTTTATTTATTTTAGTTTCTAAACACTAATTATTTACTTTTTGTCTCTTGAAAATTTATTTATTAATTAGCACACCTTATATATCACTCAAGACAATTTACCTAGTAACATATTTAAGTAATTATTTATTTTTTTTTTTTTATAAACAAATAATAAAATGTGTCCGTTAATTCGAGACTTATTGTAGAAAATTTGATCACGTTTAATGATAATGGCATTGATGATTTTTTTTCAATAATTATATATATATATATATATTTATATATAAAAAACAAAAATAAAATAAGTGATACAAAGCAAGTGATCTTAGCTGGTATTTAAACCTAGAGACTATTTTTATTTTTTTTAATTATTTCATTATTTTCCTATATATATTTATATATTTATAATATATATATATATAGCTACATATATTATATTTTCATGTTGAAAAATCGTATACATCATTGTTGTGTCGAAGGACCATTGCTTCGTTTCCCTCTTTTTTATTTCTTTTAATTATTTATTTATTTATTAATTCGTTTTTAATTTTTGTCGAGGGATTATTGAAAAAGGCGGCAGATACAAGGAGTTTTTAGTGAAAAATATTGCCGAGTTTTTATGATCGATGATTTATCAATGCTCCTCGTATTTACTCAAGAGATAAATAATTTTTTTATTGTTATTATTATTATTATTAATATTATTATTCTTATTCTTATGTTATTAATATCGATCTTAGTTCGTATTTGTTCATTTTAGTGAACTTAATGATCACAGTTTGAGTGATCAAATTTAAAAAACAAAATATGCTTTTATTAATGCTTCGTCTTCTAAGGATTTCAAGGCGACAGCTCCTGAAAGCAAATTATTGGCCATACAACCCAATTTTTTTTATTTAGTGTCATGTAAAAATTGTTTTTCTTTTTTTTGCGATTAATTACACTGAATTTTTGTGGAAAATTTATTATAAAATTCCATTTTTAACAAGCAGAATTTTTTTTTAATTTTAAATTTTTTAAATAAAAATTTTACAATTTTTTTTTTTTTATATTAAATTAATTACTGACAAAAATTCAGTGTAAATAAAAAATAATAATTTTTAATCAAAAAATAAAAAAAAATAAATTAAAAAAAAAAAAATTTATTGACGCAAATAAAGATAAAAAATACCTTTTACAAATACAAATTAAAATGTTGCTCTTTTGATTGTTTATAATAATAGTATTACTAAACATTTCTTTTGTTCTAACATATCTATTATGTATGTACATAAAAAATACATAAATATGTGAAGATGTATACAAAGTAACAGACATGAAACCTACTCAAGGTGATTAATGCAGAAATGTGAAATTTAATGATACTGAAAATATCAGACTTTTAAAAATTTTTTGGTTTTTTTTAACAAAATTTAATAAAAAAAAATTTATTCAAAACCAAAATTGTCTAATAATTTCAAGCTCATGAAATTTTAAAAAATTGGTGTCGATGATAATAATAATATTTAATAATAAAAAAAAGATCAAAAGCCGGCACGTGCTACAAATGCCTTCTTACATTTTAAAAAAACATGCAGATACAATGTTCCAACTTAATATTAATAATAATTATAATAGTGATCAAGAAAATTTAACTTAATTAGTTTAAGTTATAAATTATAAATTGTTTATCGACACTAATACATGAATTACTTCAAATTTTAATTAATTGATATGATAAATGAGAACTTAGAAATTAAACTCAGTGAGATATTATTCATTTGATAATAATAAGCATAACTAACTAAACACACCAATTGATAATTAAAAAAAAATATATCTATATATATATATTGGTAATAATGAAAAATTCAAAACTAATTATAAAGAATAATAATCCTTAATTAAAAATATAATTTTTTTTTTAAATCAAATGTGAAGATGAGAGAAATAAACGCATGACATGAGGACGGAAAAATTATACATATATCCATATATTTGGTTTTTTTTAATTTGACATAATTTTAATTTTTTTTTTTAATTAAAAAAAATTTTTTCTGTTTAAAATAAATTTTTAACTATTTTATTTTTTTATTTAGTGTCATGTAAAAATTGTTTTTCTTTTTTTTGCGATTAATTACACTGAATTTTTGTGGAAAATTTATTATAAAATTCCATTTTTAACAAGCAGAATTTTTTTTTAATTTTAAATTTTTTAAATAAAAATTTTACAATTTTTTTTTTTTTTATATTAAATTAATTACTGACAAAAATTCAGTGTAAATAAAAAATAATAATTTTTAATCAAAAAATAAAAAAAAATAAATTAAAAAAAAAAAAATTTATTGACGCAAATAAAGATAAAAAATACCTTTTACAAATACAAATTAAAATGTTGCTCTTTTGATTGTTTATAATAATAGTATTACTAAACATTTCTTTTGTTCTAACATATCTATTATGTATGTACATAAAAAATACATAAATATGTGAAGATGTATACAAAGTAACAGACATGAAACCTACTCAAGGTGATTAATGCAGAAATGTGAAATTTAATGATACTGAAAATATCAGACTTTTAAAAATTTTTTGGTTTTTTTTAACAAAATTTAATAAAAAAAAATTTATTCAAAACCAAAATTGTCTAATAATTTCAAGCTCATGAAATTTTAAAAAATTGGTGTCGATGATAATAATAATATTTAATAATAAAAAAAAGATCAAAAGCCGGCACGTGCTACAAATGCCTTCTTACATTTTAAAAAAACATGCAGATACAATGTTCCAACTTAATATTAATAATAATTATAATAGTGATCAAGAAAATTTAACTTAATTAGTTTAAGTTATAAATTATAAATTGTTTATCGACACTAATACATGAATTACTTCAAATTTTAATTAATTGATATGATAAATGAGAACTTAGAAATTAAACTCAGTGAGATATTATTCATTTGATAATAATAAGCATAACTAACTAAACACACCAATTGATAATTAAAAAAAAATATATCTATATATATATATTGGTAATAATGAAAAATTCAAAACTAATTATAAAGAATAATAATCCTTAATTAAAAATATAATTTTTTTTTTAAATCAAATGTGAAGATGAGAGAAATAAACGCATGACATGAGGACGGAAAAATTATACATATATCCATATATTTGGTTTTTTTTAATTTGACATAAATTTTAATTTTTTTTTTAATTAAAAAAAATTTTTTCTGTTTAAAATAAATTTTTAACTATTTTATTTAATTTAATAAAAAATATTGAAGAAATATTAATATTTAATATTTAATTTAATTAAAATATTTAATTTAATATTAAGAAAAAAAAAAATTTTATAAAATTAAAAAATATGTCAAATTTTGATAATTATTCCCAATATACATGCATATATTTATAAAATATTATATTTAATGATATTGCTTAAAACTATTTTAGTTTTTAAATTTAAAAATCGTATACAAATTTTTCTCAATTGTGAAAACATGTAAATATTGTCAATAAAAATTATTAAAGTTTATAATTGATAATTAAAAAAAAAAAAAAATGAATTTAAATAAATAAATGAAAATGGTGAGCAACATTTTTAATAATTCTCTAAACTTTTGTAATATCAATACAAATTAAATAGAGAAGTATATAATTTTTTTTTGTATAGCAACCAAGTAAATGTACATTGACCATTTATTTATTTATCAAACTATAATTTTTGATCTCGTATAAGCGTTCACACGTACTTTCTCTCATTCATTCGATTTTTTGTCAGAGTAATTAGTACACTTTTGCTATAACAGTAACTAATTAATAATAATCAGTATATGTGTATGTGTAGGTGTAAGATCTCTCTTCACTATTGTGTTCTTTTGATTTATTATACAGTAAACAATATCGGAAAATTGATCGCGTTAATTCAGTACATACACCTAAACCCGTGGTCGTTTTTCGTTCTCTCGAGAATCAGAATCGGAATCCGCTGAATCGTGGAGCGGCGGAAACTCCGGCATGGCCTCACGGTGCATCCATCCAGCCCCCGCAGCCAATCCCTTGCCCTGCGTGTCATCATTGTTTTTTTTTTTTTCAATTCAACTTAGATAGTTATTTTAATTTAGCCCATTTTTATTTAAACCCAACCAACCACAACAAAACAGTAAGTCAAATAAATTTATAAATAATAATAAAAAGTGTGCATAAACAAAACATTTAGAAAAATTTTCCCAATTAAAAAAAAAAATAAAACATAAGAATTTTGATAAATAAATAAAATAAATTTTATTGTAATTGTCGCGTCGGCTGAATGATTTAAACAAGTAATTTTTTTGCATGCAATCATGCAAAGAAAGGATTTATGTATGAAAGTGATCAGATATACGATGTTTTATTTATTATTATATTTATGTGATCATATATGATCATTTTATGCCTTATATGATCATACTAGCAACCTTGCAGTCACTATGTGACTGCCGTGACTTATCAACTATAAATAAATAAAATTTTGCTTAATTAAATAATAACTTTTGTTAAATTGTACTGTACTTTTTTAATAATGGACGTTTTTAAAGATATAAGCTCATCCCAAAGTTACACTCATCAAGAGCTTTCATTTGAGTACCCACATGCATTTTCATATATTTTTCATATATATATATATATATATATATATATATATATATATATATATATATATATATATTCAAATGAAAGGTTTCGGTGAGTGTAATGTCGGGATGAGCTTAATATTTAAAAAAAGTCAATAGTTCACGAGATACGAGGCCATTTTTTAATTATTGAAATTACATATTTAAGATATAAGCTTATCCCGATGTTACATTCATCAAGAGCTTTCATTTGAGTACCCACATGCATTTTTTATATATTTTTCATATATACATATATATAATATATATAAATATATGAAAAATTGATGTGGGTACTCAAATGAAAGTTCTTGATGAGTATAACATCGAGATGAGTTTATATCTTCAAAAAAAAAACTATATCTGATCACAAAAATCTGATGTTTTTTTTCCACAATGAAATTTTGAATGACATACACATTCAGCGAATTTTCTTTATTGCTAGCAATTGGCATGAATTTAGCATCGAAAAAAATAACAATGATAATATCCGTAAGCCAAGAGCGATAGTTTTAGCATGCGCCTATGCCAGATACGTTTATTCGACCCCCCAAAATCACATCATGTAATATATAATATATGTATATGCATAGAAAAATTTACTTTATACATGAATATTTTTTTTTATATATCTATTTCTATATTCATACTGAATTCAATCCGCATGACCTCAAACACCCAATATTGAATGGCAGTAACACGCCGTAAAATTACACTATTTTCAGATAAGACGATTCAAATGAAACTTTTATTTATATTATCAGCCTAAAGCTCTACGCATAAACTAATCTTTAAAATGAAATCATTTAATTTAATTTTTCTCCTTTTATATTATATTATAAGTACTCTACTTTCTTTTCTAGAGTTTTATTATCTACATTTAATATCTAAGTCTACATGATTCTTATTGCACTTAAAGTAAAATCAATATCAGTAACTTAAAATAATTGAATTATTAATAATAATAAACTATAAATTAAAGCCTGAATAAATTTTCCAATCACGTATTGCACAAGATTATTAAAAATCATTGTAAATTTAAGACTTAGTAAAATATATTTAAAAAAAAAAATGAATTAATAATGACTCAGCTAAATTCAATAACAATAATAATAAAATAAAAACTCGGCGTAATTCTCAAGTAGATTCAATTGTGCTTGTTGCAACAGAGACGATCTTGTTCTCTTACTCTTAATCTTGTCGATTCCGATGTTATGGATTACAACTCAACTGATTAAGCCGCAGTAAGTCACTGTAATAAAAGAACACGACACCGATTTTACACTTAATAATCTTTCTTCAAAATCAATCAAAACCGCTGTTATTATTATTTTTATTTGTTACGGCAAATGCTACGTGGTTTAGGCAATTTTACATTTTTAGATTCAGTAAAACGTTGTATTAATCAAAAACTATTGACAGGTTAAACCGGTACTTTGATGAGGAACTCTAAGAACTGTGCTTGTGACAATAATTTTTTTTCTTCAGCCAAATTATTCATTTTAGCGGTGCTTTTTTTTTTTTTGTTAATTTTGAAATTTTGTGGACCAGGTAAGAGTAGGAGTTTTTTGTCTCCGTTGCAACAAACACAGTTCATTTTTTATTGTTAGGCTAAACACGACTTTTATTATTATTTTATTATTTTTTTTTACTTATTACCAAGCTGTTAGAAGTTAGTCGGTTATTTTTTAAGTAGTCAGGCTCATTATGTATTATTAATTAAAATAATTTTTTTATAGAAATAAAATTTATCTTTGATAATGAAAAATAATTTAAATTAAAAATTTATTTAAATTATTTTAAAAATTATATTTAATTTTTTTTTATCAAAAATTTTAATAATTTTTAATTCTGACTATTTAAAAAAATAATTTATTTCTTAAAAAAAATAAAATACATGCAATTATTTAGACCTAAAAATTTAAATGACCCTTCTGTTAAAATTTTTTTTAATACTTAAATTTTAAAATAAAATTATAGTTAAAATTTAATTTTAAATTAATACTAAATAAAATTTTTTTAAATAAAATTTATTTTACAAAATTTTAGTCAAGAATTTTTTCTTTAATAATTTATTTAAAACCTTTTAAATAATTTAAAATAAATAAAATTTTTAATTTTTTAGTATTGTAAATATTAATAAATATAATTAGACCTCTAATTAATTAAAAAATTAAAATAATAATTTAACAGATGGATCATACAATTAAAATCAAAATTTAAAAAAAAAAAAAACAGATAAAAAAATCAACCCGCAGTAAAAAAACAAAAAAAAAAACTAAAAATCTTAATAAGACAGTTGTATGGTATATATAACAGCAACTTGAGAATACTCGTGGCATCGATAGCGTTGTATAAAAGCTCAAAACGTATATACCTGTTCTAAAAAGTGAGTTTGCAAGTTCAATGCATACTAAGCAACCCGAAAGGGGCGGAAGGGGTTGTTGGTACGTTGGCTGCCACCGTACACAGTACAGCGAATAGGGTATTATATAATCTAGTAGCAAGTAGCAAGTAGCTAGTACAGTAGCTTTCTCAACAATTTTTTCCCCAACTCCAACTCGAACCCATTCTCTCCCTCTCCCTCTCCTCCTCCCTCACCCTCTTCCTCTTTCTCTCTGATACCTTTCCTCTCTTTACTTTTCAGACTTGCTAAGCCCATCTTTATGACGCAACCAACAATACACCCCGTGTTGATATTATTCACCACTACACGCACACTCCTCATACATACATACATATAAACAAACCCTCTCTTTACTCAGCAACTTCTCTTTCACATACACACTAACGAATATTCCACCTTTGTCACGTTGTACTTGTATTTCTACCTATCCACTTACATTTATCCATACATTCATGTATACTTTGCTCGTACTTTTATAAATATATAAACAGAGATAGAAAATAAACAACAAATACACGACTTTAATCCCCAAAGTTACACTAGTCAAAGATACGCTACAATGCCCAAACTATATGTACATACTCTACTCGTGCAGGAAGGATAAAAAGGATGCACATGCGTCTATTGAAACAGTGTCACATGCTAAATTTAACTTTTCACACTAAAAATTATTTTATTTTTTCTTTATATTTATTTGCTATTATTATTTTTAAAAAAATTTTTTTAGAGCCAGTTTTTTAATCCGAGATAAAATTATTATCGCCAATTTATTTGTATGTAAATAAAAATTTACAATGTTAAAAAAAGCAATTTTTAATATAAATATTGGAAGTAAATTATTGTGAGGATAATTGTATTTTTTTTAATACTATATTTGGTATGTAATATAATTATTAAAAAAAAATTTTATTTTTATAAATCACAATTCATAATAATTATAAATTGACGTTATGTAATTTTACAAACTAAGTAAAAAGTTTAAAATAAAAATTTTTTTATCTACTAAAATTGCGCAAATTTCTATTAAAATCACTGAAATTTTATTATTAAATTTTTTAATTAATTTAATAATAAAATATTTTATTAGCTGAATTTTTTATTATTAAATTTTATTATTTTATTGAAAATTTTGTAAATTTAGTCTACAAAAATTGAACATTTTTTTTTTTTTTTCGTAGTTAATCTTTAATTATATATTATCTACTAAAATATTATAAAAATTTTTACAGTTTAAAATTGAATAAAATTTAATCTCTAATTAAAAAACTGGCCCTTAAAGTTTAATTTAACTTTTCAACACTATGTCACAAAGACAAAAGTAACAACCCATAAAAAAAAATGAATATTTGTATTTTTTATAATTATTAAAATTTGAATTATAATTGTGCTAATAAATGAATTTTACCTGATGCATTGGATCATATCCCATGGATCCGTCATTGTAGGGTTGTGAACCATAGTCGCTTCCGTTAATTCCCATGCCGTATCCTGCCATGTCCTGAGGACCACCCGGTGGCGCCGGAGACATCATCGGCGTGGATGTACCCTGACTGGCGCCGCCCATGCTGTACGGCGACGCTCCTGCAAAAGCTGCTGTAGAAACAATCGCGGTGCTTACAAACGATCGAGGGGTAGCTAACTAATTTTTTTATTAATCTACTATCTACAAGGAATCTACTACTGCCTACTCGAATCTCCCTTTAATTTTTATTAACATTAAAATTGAAATAAAAAGTAATTTAATTTTAATTTAATGCCAGTCGTTAGATAATTTATTTATGCTATATATTATATATTGTAATTTAACTTTGAATTTGAATGTATAATATTTAATGTATATTGTTAATTTTATTCGGGTGATTTATTGACAGTTGGAATAACAAGAGCCAGCGGCGGCAACGGGTACAAACAGTACATAGAGGAGAGTACAGAGCAGCTAAACGCGAAAAGAGAAGGCACAATGAGCGGTAACTCACTTGCCAAATGATTTACAGTAATGAGAGTCGCTGCTGTGACACGATTTCTGCTGGTGCTATCGATTCTATCCAGTTGCTAGGCTGGACTACCTTTCACATAATAGCCGACAAAAGATATAATACAAGATAAAAATACAATACAATTCTCTGAAAAATTTACTCCGTTAATTATTTATTTTATTTTTAAAACTCATTCAATTAATATTAATATTAATAAATAATTTAAAAGGAGATTTTTTGTTTTATATATTTTTATTCTACCCCTTAATTTTTTTAGTAAAATATTTTATTAACTTACCCGCTGCTTTTTTAGCGGCATACAAGTTAGCTTCTTCTTGTGCTTTGCCGATATTTTTCTTGTAACGTATTCTCTTGTTGCCAAACCAATTGGACACCTACAAAAATTATATTGTTAATCAATTGGCTAGCAACCTTGCAGTCACTGTGTAACTATAAATAAATAAAATTTTGCTTTATTAAATAATGACTTTTGTTAAATTGCTCTGTACTTTTTTAACTATTGACATTTTTAAAAATATAAGCTCATCCTGATGTTACACTCATCAAGAGCTTTCATTTGAGTACCCACATGCATTTTTGATATATTTTTCATATATACATATATATAATATATATAAAATATATAAATATATGAAAAAATTGATGTGGGTACTCAAATGAAAGGTCTTGATGAGTGTAACATCGGGATGAGCTTATATTTTTAAAAATGTTAATAGTTTACGAGATATAAGGTCATTTCTTAATTATCTATCTTGAGATAGAGCATTTTTAAATGCAGCCTAAATATTTATTATCATAAATTAATATTTTACCTGGCTGACAGTGATACCACACTTTCTCGCTAATTCTTCTTTAGCTTCTTCACTGGGGTAAGGATTACTCAAATGCGAGTAAAAATATTCATTCAGTATTTCGGATGCTTGTTTACTGAAGTTCCGTCTTTTACGTCTGTTAAATTAAAAATTAATTAGTATTATAAATTACACCCTAAATAAATGAAAAAAATAATTTATTTAATTTATAATATTGATAGGAAAAAAAACTATCAGAATATTGAAAAGTTACTCAAAGACAAAGTTAAAAAATTGAGCGTTTGGTAAATGAAAATAATTCAAACCTGGCATCAAGGAATCGACTTCTGAGGATCATAACAGCTTCACAGGTAGATTGTTTAAGCTGCATTTGGATACTCGAAAACTTTTTGTGAATTATTTGCACCATTCTTTCAATTTCCTTGGGTGTAATCGGCCTGGTACGACTTTGTTCTCTCAGAAGATTCATTACGTGCGTAGTGAACTCGTTACACGCCTGAAAGTATAAAAAAAAATTAATCATTTTATTTTAATAAAAAGTTAAAAATCTAATTTTTAAATAATAACAATAATAATAATAATAATAATAATTCCTAAACGAGAAAAAAAATGTAAAGTACAACCGACAAGCGACATCGAAAAAATTATTATTCCTTTTCATGTATGTTATTCTGTGTGTATTTTTTATTTTTTATATTTTTTTGAGCTTTTGGTGTTGAGAGAAGAGACTTAGCTTTGATATCAGTATTCGAAGCAGGCATCGGGTAGCTTTTCCTGAGGGAAGTCGTGAAACAGAGAGCAAGTGAGGACGAGATGAGAAAGCGGATGGTTTGCAATTTCGGAATGGATTCCACCCGACGGCGTTACTTCTATTCGCATACACTCTTCTCTTCTTATTCTATCTGACTTGGTATTCGTACGTACATTCGTTTAGTTTTATCCCCAGAACAGGCCAGACTCTCTATACTACATATACTACTCGCAACTCTGTTAAGACCTTGCTCCTATCCGCCATAATACAAGAGCAGAGCAAGAAAACTAGAAACGAGAGACGAGGGTGGATCAGAATCATTCCACGGCGTACTATATACCAGATACCCTGAGAACTTAAAACTGAGAACTGAGAAAACGAGAGTAAAAGCCTGAATTGGATAGAAAATCCACCGAAGCTTTACTCATTTACCATTTTTTCTTGCTCTTCTTCTTCATTTTCATTTTTATCCGATAATTTTAAGTCAATTTTTTTTGATACAATGATTATAATTTAATTTTATTATTTAAAATTAAAAATTACAAAATAATTAACCGAGGCTAAAAAAATTATAATAATAATCATATTCTTAATGTACAGCGAGGAAAAAAATACTTATTTTAAGAATTTGTTCTTGACATAAGAATATATATTTTTTTAATTTTTAAAAATGTATGTTTTTGTTTAAAAAATTAGTTAAATTAATTGAATTAATTTTTATTTAATTCAAATGAAGCTTTTTGATTTTTTTAATAATAAAATTTTTCTTCCAAAAAATTAATTTATTAAATTGTTTATTTAAAAAAATTCTTCAATCAAAAATCGTTGCACGAGTATCATTTTTATTATTGAAATTAATCCTGAAAATGATTAAATTATTTAATTATGTTAAAGTAAGCCAAAATAATTATTGTAAAATAAGCTGTAATTTTTACAAATTCTAATATTTAATTTTATTTTTGTTTATAATAAAATTAGCTATTTTTTTTTAATATTTAAAAAAAATGTACTTGACAAATAACTAACTTGAAAACTTTTTAATTAAATTAGATATTTTTCTATGCCTTATTACCCGTCGGTACTTTACTTCTAATTCTATTGAAGAAGATAATTAGGACCATTAAATAAAAATTTACCTTGAATAATTTAGCAAAAAGATAATTATACAGAATATACAGTAAGTACTAAAAATACGGACATAAAATTGAAGTTTTTATGTAACTGACCCCAACTTAGACATAAATTAATGAAATTTATTACAGGAAATCTCATTTGCAGCTTACGGTACGGTATGTTGGCAATAATCTAAGAAGAAAGATATAATGTGAAAATTAAAGTCAGCATTACAAGCTGAAGCTCTGATACTACCTAGAAGAAACTGGACACTCGTAACGCAATATAACGGGATACATATTGCATAGCAGAGAGTAAATTTGATCACTGTTAAATAATCTGGATTATTAATTAAAATAATGTATGCACGGAGATTATCATATATTTATAATTCCATATTCCATAGGATGAGTTTAAACTCAGTCAGTGTGTAATGATCATCACGCGATATCTCAAAATTCCTCTTAGCTTTCTATTTTTGTCTGTCACGCCATTTCACATTGCCACGCAGCCATTCACCCCTCGCAATTTCAATTACATTTATTCATATATCTATATCTATATTTATATGTGACTGTGTATGGATATGGGTATGAGTATGGATAAGTATGTACATTACAAGAAAAGATGAAAATATTTCTCAGCTCGGCGATTGAAAATTCTTGGGTTGTATTATAAAAGTAGCAATAAGTAGGATACCATTGCAGAAAAGCTACTGGTGAGGTACTTGATCGAACGAATTTCCATTACGCAAATCTGGGAATAGATTCGTGAACGAAAATAACGTAATGTAAATCTAGCAACTGAATCTTCAAGATATACTCTAAATGTAAATGAATTCATGAATAAATGTGTCTGTAGTGAGAAAAGACTAGCGTTAAAAATAACACAAAAAAAACAATCCTTTATATAAATATTTATGAAAAGTTTTAGAAAATTATAATCTTTTTCTATTTTTCTATTAAACGGTACATTTTACTGAATAATTTTCTCAATTATAATGCCCAAAAAAAAATTATTAAGAATGAATTAAATAAATGAATCAAATAAATTGAAGAATTAAAACCAGAAAAGTTCAAATTATTGTTTAAAAATTCATATCTCAGAATCTAGTCATCCTATCAGCCTATTCTTGAGCTTATATTTTTCCTTGATTCAAGAACTAAAAGAAAGGTCTGCCGATATCTCAGAAACTACTTGACCGATTTTTTTCGTTCTTGGGGTCATTTTTTTCCTTATGAAATGCCCTAGGTCGAGCTTCTTTAGTCGTTTGCATAAATCCAATATTTTTTGGCATAAACGAAGCTTTAAAAAGAACTTTTTTGCTGCCAAAATAGGAAAAACAACCAATAAAAATAAAAATAGACGAAATTATGAAGAATCAAGTTGAAATAAGCTTGAAGATACACAAAAGCCCAAAAAATAGTTGAGATTAGCCCATTTCGGCCCTTATCAGGGAATAAGATATTTCACATTTACTAGGCCTAAGCCTCTTTTCCTATTCTTAAACTATTCTAAGGGGAAACGTAAATGTCCCAATAACTTTTACTCAGACTCATCACGTCAGGGTATATTTGTCTTTTATATCTATTTGTATACGTCTAGTCTTGGGTATCAGGGAGTCAATAGTGACCCGATTTTTCAAACATTACGCTTGTATAAATAATAAATACACTGTATTCGGTAAATAGAGTATGAATATCTTGAGCAGCGATCTTATAGAATAGAATCAGAGTACAAGGAATCAGGTTGGTAAACAAAATATTTAAATAATTAAATTTACATAACTGATTATTCTTCGTTATTCATTATTCATGGGAAAATATCATATTGGTATGATAAAAAAATTTTTTAATGATCCTTTTAAATCTGACTCAGCAATAATAAGGTATCCTCGCATACCAGCCAGACAGACACGTTGACATAAAAAAATCTATATAACAAATAAAAAGCATAGAAATAAATTTGTTCGAACACCCGGTACGTGACTACCGCTATCTGCAGTGCAGCTCTCCTACAATTCTGAAACGTCACGCGATTGCCACTCGGTACAAAGAGGTACCCTACCGCATTTGTCTAAAAATCTCAGTACAATTAATGTTCAATTTTATCAAAATTTTTTTCAGCCATTTAATAGACATCAAAATACAATTTCAAAAATTTACAGCTGATTTTTTTAGTTATAAATTAGAAATTTTACTTTTTGAGAAATTTTTTTTGTTCTAAAGAATTTTTGAATTAAAAAAAAAAAAATCCCGGTTACAATTAAAAATGCTATTTTTTAAAAATAATTTTTCGGAACAAATTTTTTTGTTAAATAAAATTAAAAAATGGTCAGCTAACTTTAATACTATTTTTAATGTACTTAAAGAAAAAAAAAAATGTTTAAAAAAAAATTTAAATAGCAAAATATGTATATTAAAACAATAATTTTTAAATAAAAAATTTTATTGAGTAGGATATTAAATAATGAAAGGAATATTTAAAAAAAATTTAATGCAATCAAAACTTAAAAAATCATAAAAAATTCTCTTTTAATAATGAAATAATTTAATTGCTAATTTAGAAAAAAAAAATTGCATAAAATATGAACTCAATCTCGAGAGGAATTTTTGAAAATCCAGTAAATTAGTTTCTTAAAATAGTGAAGTTGTCACGTAAGAAATAGTAAACTACGACAATAGAAGTGAGAGCTCGACGGCACGCGATCCTCAGCATATCTTTCGACTATTACTGTGTATATATGTACAGATAAAACGGTATGATACTTGTTCTCTAGTACAATAGACTGAAACAAAGATCTGGAGAGTCAGTCATTGATCGTCTGCACGCGAGATTTTACTTAAGCAAGCGCACGTTGGTTCATTAGCACGCAAATCGGTGTCGTACTTTACCTCCACCTATCTCTATCTCTCGTACAGTTGCTCCTACTATGCTACTCTCATTACTTTTCGCCTTGCTTTACTTGTCGCATGAATATAATCTCGAGCTATGAAATTGCATTTCTTATCGTTGATTAACTTTAATCCGGGCATATATTTCCTTATGACGCTTCTACTTTTTTTCCTGGTAATCTAATTACTTTTTTCCTTTCTAATAAAAATGGAATCAAATGTCTGTTAATAAACAGAAAATGAATTGGATACGAACCTGCTCGTATTTCTCGAGCTCCTGGTGGTAAATTTGTCTGATTTGGGCAAGCTTAGCACGGTAATCAGAGTGTTCAATAGCGTTGTCAGGTTGTCCTGGTGGTCCAGCTGCCGAGGCTGCTGACGCAGATGCTGCAGCTCCAGCACCGCCGCCTTTTTCTGGTCCAGCAACGCCCTCAGCTATCAACATGTTGTCTAACCTCATCAGTTGGGGATCTGGAGGCTCTTCTTCTTGGGTATTTCTCAGTGACAGAACTGAAATATTCAAAAAGGCAAAATTTAGATTGATAATTATGAATTTTAAGTATAATTCAATAAAAATTGTGAAGGAACAAATTTATAAACCAAAAAACTATTCAAAATTGCTCCAACAACTTACATAAAATTATTTGAATTTGAGGCTGGAAGATTGAGATAATATAATATATAGGATTTATGAAGGAAAAATATTATTGCACTTTATTGTCTTTATTAATAATAAACTACTCTAGAATACACAAACAAATACATTAAAGATTTAAGTAGTGTAGATACTCGATAATATTATAACACAAAGGTGGACCGTTCGTCACGGGAGTTCAGTTGACACTAACTATGACCGCTGGCAACCCAAAAGTACCGATAGTACCTCAGGTCATAAAATAGACCCTTCCTTGCATCCAAAATATAATATGTCCTGACATCACTGCATCTACAGTATCGTTGCTATTTTCAACAAAAATTATGAAAAGACACAAATTAAAGTCAAGATCTTTTTAATGAGACCTAATTTAATTAAAAATTTATTTTTATGTAATTTAATTTTGCTTATTCTTTAAATTATTTCAATAATAAATTGATTATCATCAACCGAAAAAAATATAAAAAATATCAAACCGTGAAAAGAAATAAATTTACGATTTTTCTGGTGGTACCAAATTTAATTGTAAAAACACATTTTATAATAAAGACACACAAGTCACAAAATTTATTTGATTCTCTTAATTAATATAGATTAATATTTGGCATGTAGCTCCACATTTACATGTACAAAAAAAATAAATGTACAAATTTTATTTAGTACAAAATTCAAATCTACTCCGAAAACTTATCACAATAAATTAACTATCACTGAAAAGCATATGAAACCTTCAAAAGGTACAAATTCAGACCAAGATATTTTTAATTATATTAAATTTAACTTAAAAAATGCATTTTATCATATAAATATAATTTTTATTCTAAAGATTATCACTGTTGTTATTATTGGGATTAAAAAATTGAATAAAAAGTCCTACATCCCAAAACCCTAATAAAAAATTTTGTTACATCAACAAGAAATTAACTAAGAAATGGACACTTCCTTTGTGTTTAATTCAATTGTACCCACAAATGGATCGAGCAGAAATAAAAGACCTAAAGTCAAGTAAACTACTATACACTACACTAGCAAAGTCTAAGTCGTAAAAATAGAATAAAAAAAGCTAAAACACAAGTAAAGTAGGTAGAATAGTATCGGAAACATTGATTGTTGTTTTATTTTTACCCAGACGTTTATCGAATCATAAAAGAAACAATTTTCACTATTCAATAAGACTTTTTTTTTTTTCAAATTTTTCTACTAGATTTTTAAACTCATATATCCTATAATATTTCCGACTAACTACAAAGCTCTGTAAGTTTAAAGAGACCCACAGCAGTAGTTAATTAAAATTTGTTTGTTTTTGAGCTAAAATAATTGAAGAAATAATAGACAAGTAACAAAAGTAAATAATAAAAGGAAAGAGCAGACAAAGTCAATTGAGAATAAGTTGGAGTATCTTATCGACATTCTGTCAAAATGTCGATTTTATCAAACAGTTCTATTATCTTTCTGAACTAGTATATATATTGTAACAATAAGGTCCTTGAAAAGTTTCATTGTATTTTATTCATTTTATTATCATGTTTATTTTTTATTTTTATTTATTTATTTACAATTTGATTGTAAAAAAAACCACAAATTTTTTCTCTTTTTCACAGAGGAATAACGATCGCTAAAACGGTTCGGAAAAGTTAAGAGAAATAAAGTTTCGAAAAGTAAGACCGTGAAATGAATGCGTACTACTAATGCATTTATACGATGTGCAACAATTAAAGGTGAGAAAAAAAAGGGTTCAAGTTTTAAACGACACTACACTCTGGGGAGAATCGGGAGCAAGGGTTACTTTTTTTTTTATTTTACACATAAGTGCGAATTAAAACACGGTAAAATTAAACATTTAAATGACTAAAATTTTTTTTTAATTATTTTCCCCCTTTTAAGATTCTATTTGTTGCTTCAGAAAGCAGCAACAGAATTATTATGACAAAAATGGCCAATAAAAAGAGTAAAAATAGTTAATAATATAGAGTCTGGTGTTTAGCGGCCAATAATCTGACTATTATGTCGTAAGGGTGGATTGCCAGGGGTACATAAGAGATCGGCGAAAAGGATGATGATGGTAGTAGTAGTATGACTTTCCTCTACTCCTCTATGTGCTTTCCTTTCTGTTCCGTATGTGCTGCTCCCGGCGTCAGATAAAGAGGAAGACAAAGAAGAAGGGGAGCACCTCCTTACAAGCGCGTAAACTCAGTTTTACTAGCAGTTAACATTTTACGAGTCGAGCGGCGGCCTGCCAGGGTGCTTATGCTTGCGACCTGTATTACTCTCACATTTTTATTTTCCTCTATATCTACGTCACATGTCGCACAATACATTACTTATACTAATACATACTGTTATTATCACCATCGCTATTACTATTACTATTACTCTCACTGTTCATCTTTGTCACTGATATACTCTTCAATCCAACTTCGAGTACGTAAACTTTTCTTTTACTGCTGTGTCTTTCGACTGGGTTTTACTCGGGTCATTAAAATTTTGGGTAAGTACTAGGTCAATGCTGTGATTAATTGTCAAGGGTTTTATGAGTAACTCCTACACGAGATTAAGAATTATTTTTATTTTTTTTGGAAAATTAAATTAAAAATTTTTTTTCTTGATCATTTATGATTTAAATTAAGTGTTTATTCACAGTAAAATGTTTTGCGTCAAAAAATTTTATGTTAAAAATTTTTATATTGAATATTTAACACTTTTTTGTGTTGATTTAACAGAATAAATGTTAAATTTACATATAAAAGTGTTAAATATTAACACAAAAATTTTTAATACTAAATTTTTTGACGCAAAATTTTTTATTGTGTACAATGATAAAAGAGGAAGAAAATTCATCATTCATAATTAAGGATTAAAGAATAATCATTGTTGTTCGATAATAATCCTAAAAAAAAATTAATTTAAATTAAGATGAAAAAATCTTGATTCAAGAAAAATTTTCTAATTTAAAAATTTTTATTTTGGATCTAGTTAATTTTTTTTAGTGTAAGGATTAATAATTAAGACTGAAGAATTAGTGATTAAGGATCAATGATTAAAAACTAAACATTAATAATGAAGGATTCATGATAAAAGACTAAAAATTGATGATTAATAATTAAAGATTGGGAATTTATGATTAAAGATTGAGAATTAGTTGTTAATTAGGACTATTATGGTTGTAATTGTAGCTTTTTTTGTTCTACAAGTTTAGTATATACTAAATTATAGGATAACTTTGTAAATAAAAAATTAAACCTTGTATATATATGGGTGAGAGTGTATGTGTTTTTAGTTGGAAGGAAAGGTTGGTGGTGAAATATGCTTGACTCGTTTTAAACTGCAATGGGGGCTTTACTCGTTGGCCAGTTGATAATTTAGAGCCATGACTTCGGCACGGTATTGATCTAAACGAGAACCGTAAGAGCAATTAAGATAAAGAACAAAAGGGTTCCCGGCTTTTGATTTTCTGAGGGTAGCTTAATAAAAATAAATAGTAATTGCCATGCTTATACTAAACTTTCCACACTCTAAATTTAAATCCCAATCATTTTGTAAAGCTAATCTTTGGAATTATAAATAATGTGTATTTTTCGAATAAGGGTATAAATTCTCATGAGATGAAATGAGTAAAAGATGAGATTTTGTAGAAAAACACCCTCTGAGATGTCAATTCTCGAGGGAGTGCAGAGATATTGACGGGCGATAATAATTTAATACGATTGTGATTTATGAACATAAATTTATATTTTATTTTTTCGATCATTGAATAGGAAATTTATCGAATAATTAAACAACATTTTATTAAAATATTGGCGGAAAGATTTTTTTTACCAAGAATTTTATGTACTATCTCATTACACGCATCTGCTTCCTGCAATTTATTTGTGATAAAACAAATAGTTAATAAAGAGCAATGAATAAGAACCAGCCGACCGGTGCTAATATTTTGCACAAAACCGCGATGTTTATTGCTATACTATTAAAAAAAAACTTTAATCGATAAAAATTTTAATTCACAAATTTCCAAATTTTTAAATAACCTTATTTTCATTTTTTTTTTTTTACAATTAATTTTTCCAACTAAAAAGCGTAAGCTTTAATTAGGAATTTAAATTGCTAAGTTTAGTAAAGGATTGACAAAAATATTACAATTCTACAAAAAATACCTTTGAGAAAAAAAATACAATTTAACATTATTAAAAAAAGAATTTTTTGAGAAAAATTTGTACCTTCCATAAATAATTTACTAATTTTCGAGGATTCTGTTTAATTCTAGCTTGCCATAAAAATAATAAATAATAAATAAAATCCGTGCATTAATTTGAAATAGGATTATGTGATAAAATAAATATGAAATATAATTTAAAAAAGCAGAAAATTTAAATTATGAAGCTGACTATACCATCAATCGTGAAGTTAATCTAAAGAGTAACCATTCCCAGCGGAGCACTTTCGACAATTGGAAACGCTATCAACTATCAAACGTATAAATATTCCGTGTACACTTAGCGCAAACATAATAAATTTCATAAATTTATTATCAATGGATTTTTAAATTAAACTTTATCGAGTTTATTCAGATAAATTCGATAGTTATAATTACAATAATTATTATTATTATAATTTATAATTGTAGATCATGACAAGTATGGGTGCCAGGTAGAATATTAAAAACGGCGGTACTAATTAAGTATGCTAATAAATGCGAGTAATAATACCGGGATTGGTAGTTTAAATAATTGATTTAATTAGTAACACACTAGGCAGGATACAGGGTGATTACTCGGTACTCATGATCCGAAAATAATGTATTGAGTAGAGTAGAGTAGAGAGTGTAATTGTGATTGTTATATTTGTATATACCGCAGTACGGTTAGAAATACGAGAAATTTTACGGGCGGAAAATCAGCGAATAATTGTTACGGCGCGTTTTGATCGCATAAAACACCTCGTAAATGTCATAGGGCTTCGGTCTCATAGAAAAGAGGGTGGTAGTGTCGGTGTCGATACCAATGGTGGTGGTACGCTTCTGAACCACCCCTAACTCCAACGACACCAACTCCGAGTGTGGGGCAGCATTACGTCGCATTATCGAGACATTTGCCTTAAGCTTTAGTGTTTGGTATTGGATTTTTTATGAATCCTAAGGATGAACTTTATCCCCTACTACCATATGTTTTCCAAATAAATATCGAGTACCCGAGATGTTGAGTTTTTTTTTTAGTTGTTCAGAAAATTCTTTTTTTTTAAATACTCAAAAGACTATTTTATAAATTTCTATGTAAAGAAATTATTGAATGTAATTTTTACTTCATTTGGTAATTTAAATAAATAACAGTGTCGCATACTAATTAATTTCATTGGTATTCATCAGCGCAAATGAATGGTTTCAGTTTAATTAATTAAATTTTGTATTATACTCTCAAATTTATACATCTAATAACACGGATTAAAAATTTAATTAAATGTCTTTTTAAAATAATAAATTTTTGTTAAATTTAGTTTTTGCTGTTTTAGTTATAAATATAATGACCACTAAAATAACAGATTAAGATTTTTTATTTTTAATCAAGTTACTTTTTTTATAAGTAAATATTTTGAATTATTCTTGTTTTGAATATTGTTTTTCGAAATAATTAAAAAATTTTTTTTTTAGCTTCAAGCAAAAGTTTGAGTCATTTATTATAAAATTATGAGAAATTTCTATAATTTTTTAAACAAACAAATTAATACAATGAAAATCAAAAAAATAATCAGTAAAATATTGAAAAACCATCAATGTAATTATTTTTTTATTTTTAAATAAACTAAATTAATTTAATAAAAATCACAGAGTAAAAAATTATTACAGTAATTTCAACATACTATTTGAAGCGTCTGTAGTAAAGTAAAGACGAAGAAGCTTCCACGTGCATATACATATACTTCGAATGGAATGCAAGCTCTTGTATTCCGACTTCACGTACATGCACACAGTAATAGCAATCATATTTTCTTACATGCCTTTTACTCTCAGAGTGGATTTAGTCTGAGTCTCTTTTTTGCAATCGCAATTATCAGTCAAATTTTTTTCTGTTCAGCCAATTAAACAAACTTAACTGAGAAAAATTTTGACTTATTTTTGTTTTAATCTGGCTTATAATTAAAGGCAATTTACCGTTTTTCTGGCAATTAAAACATTAAATAACAAAATTAAAGTAAAAAGCAAAGAGAACAACCGTCTGTGTCTGTGTTTATAAAGAAGAAAAGGCAGGGAAAAAAAGCTCCAGGAGTGATAAAAAGATATGAAGAAGTTGAAATAATAAAAAAGGAGAGAAGAATAGAAGGATGATGACGGAAGTTAAGGTAGCTTTCAAGGGTGAACGGGTGGGTGGGGGGGGGGTATTAATAAAACGTTCTGCACGAGTAGGACGAGGGAAAAATAAATTCTTATTGCCTGGCGAGTCCGGTATTTCCGCAATATACGGCGCAGGTGTACCAAATGTTATATCCTCCCTTCCTTACACTCGCCTCTGTACTCATATTTTCTTTCTCTCTCTCTCTCTCCTCCCTTACGATGGTCCATAAGGGGTGCTTGGAAGCTCTATACAACGCGAAAACCTTCCATGCTTTCAGGGACGTATGAATTCAAGTTGAATGGCTTTGCGAACGATAAATAAACAAAAATATTATTCAAGTTTCGGGTTTTTGGAAAACTATTCAAGTCAAAAAATTCTTTGAGGGAAATAAGTATTATTAAAGAAAAATTCTCTGAATTATTTAGTCCAAGAATTTTTCTTCTTGGTTTCAAAAATACATTTTTTGATCCATCAATTTAAATTCTGAAGGGTTCGATGCCAGTCAACTATATTGATGATGTTGAAAATTTTTTACGACTGTTGAACCATATGAGAGAGTAAATATTTAACTTAATTAGTGCCAATTTTTTATTCTAATTTTGTATTTTTATTTATAATTATTTAAACATTTTTCATAAACATAGACTTTAATATCATTAAGTTAGTTTATTTTTATGCCTAAGCGGTCTGTCTAGTAATATGATATAAAAATTGAGAATATATGGGCCATATCAAAAAGATTTTTTCTGGGTTGACTCATAAATTAAATAAATAAATAACAATTCAGTTTTTTAATGAGAAATATGGATATATATTTAAAAAAAAAAAAAATAAAATTAATTATAAAGTAAAATAATTAAACAAAGAATTTTTTGCAATTTGAAAAATATTTTTGTATGAATAAAATTTAATTTAAAAAATTGAAAAGAAAAATCTCAGTACTTTTTTTTATGATTATTGCTAATTTATTTTGTAAATAAAAAAAAAAATGTTTT